TGTTTGTTTGTGTTTTTGTTTTGTTTGTTTGTTTGTTTGTTGTACCCACATGGTCTCAAAACCCTGGGCTTTTTAACTCAAGTCTCTATCAGGCACTACCATGACTGATACATATATAACATAAATATCTAGAAGCCACACTTAAAAAGAAAATAGCTGAAACGGATTTTAACATTGTATAAACTGTAACCTATCCAAAATATATGTTCAACATATAATTGTCATTTGAAAATTAAAATGAATGTGGCCATGAGACGGAGGGTTCAGTGGATAAAGGCATTTGCTGCCAACCCTGATGACCTGAGTGACTTCGAGCCCCAAAGCCCACATGGAAGAGAGAATGGCTCCTGCACATTGTCTTCTGGCTTTGTTTTTTTTGTTTGTTTGTTCTGTTTTGTTTTGTTTTTCGAGGCAGGGTTTCTCTGTATTGCTTTGGAGCCTGTCCAGGAACTGGATCTGTAGACCAGGCTGGCCTCAAACTCACAAAGGTCCTCCTGTCTCTGCCTCCGGGGTGCTTGGATTTAAGATGTGCGCCACTAATGCCCAGCTATCTTCTGGCTTCTTAAAATTATTATTTTTATTATTTATTTTGTGTGCGTGGGTGTTTTGCCTACATGTATGTCTATGAGCCTTGTGCTAGAGGAGGTCGTCATATCTCTCTGGAACTGGCGTTCCAGATGGTTGTGGGTGCAGGAATTGAATCTGGGTCCTCTACAATAGCAACCAATGCTCTCATCCAACGGAGCCACCTCTCCAGTTCCAGTTCCAATCCTCTAATTTCTACACACACACACACACACACACACACACACACTCACACACTGTTTAAAATAACATTTTTAGTGATAGAGGGGATAACACATGGAAAGGGTTACTTCTTAAGCCACAAATGGACAAGACCAAACTCCATCTCCCCAGATAGAAAAGTCTGCTTAACAGCCAGCCACACAGACCCCACACCAAATCTCTTGGCCCGGTTAGAGCTAACTTGATTACTGGCCCCACTGGGGCCTGATCCAATAAGCTACCTGCAAAGCAGACTTTTAAGAAGAGCCTGAATAAAAAACAGGCGCAAATAATCCCTCCTTGGGCTCCCTGGGACAGCTCAGCCTCCATTCAGGTGTCTGATTCATTGAATCCAATTACTGCTGGAGCCTAGCTAATCCTTTTTAAGAGCCCCCAACAGAAGAGCAGAGAATGCAATTTTGAGGGGACAGAGTCGTGGGGCAACAGCATTTCTTCCTGGTTTCTGATAGTTGGTCCACGGGGCGGAGTGTGACAACAGAAGATGCTTTGGATAAAAACCACTTGAGAAACAGGATGTGCGTTATGGCGAGATCAAGCTGGGGAAGGACACGCCACACTGGCAAAGCACCGAAACTGTCACTCCTCAGCTGGGAGATAAGGCCAGAGAGGAACAGGAATAGCAGGGAATAGAGAGGATCTGAGATGACGACATGCCTTGAATGTGCCAGAACAATGCTAAGAATTCAGGGGCTTAGGGGGTCTATGTGAGCAGGAAAAATCAGGGGAAAGAAGTTTTAATTAAGTAAGAGGAGTCCATAAAAGCACTAAGAATCCAAGCACCACAGGAGTCTTGACCATCCCTGTCAGACCTCCAACCATAAATTATTTACAGAAAAGTCAGTAGCATTAATCAGAAATGCCAAATACCCCTGTGCGCATGATAGCTGTACGAGGCCCCAAATTAATATGAACATTTCAGGGGAGTGTATGCACGGTTCAGTGTGGTTTTGTGGTCTCCAACTGTCCTGTCAACCCGGGTCAGTCTGGTTGGTCAGGACCCATCTGGTGACAGAATGCAGCCCTGGCCCCAGAATCCAGCACAGGGAGTCCGTGGCTCCCACAGACGCACTCCCGGCCAAGTGGCTATTTCTGCCCTTTGAGGACCCTAACCAGGCACACTTGCCAAGTGATGAGCAATGCTCTCCGGTGATATGTGATTCAAAGTGGGGGAGGGGGAAAAGGAAAACTTTCTATTCATCTATTTTTAATATCAACGGAAGCCTGGGGAATGTAGTCATCTGTGTCCTTCTGGGTCGGTAATACCTACAGATCCCAGCTATATTTTTCTTCTTGGCCCTGCATTTGGCTCACTGTGGTGCTGATTGAGGAAGCAAGGGCACAGCTGTCTTGCCCAGGCCGGTGAAGGGTTAGTCCCAGACAGCAGCCATGCAGGTCAAAAGGGAAAGAACCCCAAATAAACAAAACGTTCAAAGCCAGTCCGACACAGTGACACCGGCATGTGCGCTGCTGGGGAGGAAGGTCAGGGGCAGTTAGGTTTGGAGGGTTACAATCACTACCCAGAGTGCCACCTTCTCACCCCACAACCACCAAGCGCCCATCGACTTGCCAGGATCTCCGGCAGATGGGCAGGCACTCCGAAGGCGGTTCCTTAGTGTCTCCCAAAGACAGCCAACCTCATGACACATTTAGTCCCGATTCTTTTCTAAGTCTGTTATCTATAATTGTTTGCTCATGTCCCTCAGCACCCCTTGGAGAGGAAGAAGTTACTGGACACCAGCCCAATGTCACCAGTTAATAATCGGGGAGTGTCCTAACAGCACAAAAGCATTGACCCGCAGCACACAGACAAATCAATAACAAAACGCCTGCAGCAAAGCGCAGCCCAGTCCAGTCGGCATATAGAGGTCCAGGCCTATGACCTCGACCCCAGGCCCTGCGCAGACAACGCTGCTACCTGCAGTATGACTTCAGGTGAGATAACACGGCTTGGGGAGCTCACCCAAGATCTAACTGGGAACACCATCACCCAACTTCAAGATCATGCTCTGCCTCTGCCTCCCAGATCTCACATACACCTGTCTGGGTGAACCACACCCCGGTGACCTCTCCAACCTCCAGATCTATGCGGTATTCTTCTGTCTCCCCCCCCCTCCGCTCCCCCCGACACCCCCCTCCCCCGTCAACTCAATGGTCTGTTCTTGGTGTTTGTCTTTTGTCCACTTTTGCAGCCTTATGGTTCCCCATCTCCCTACAGCTTCCCAAAGGGATGGTCTCCCTCCTTCTACTCATTTAGTCCTGAAACCTATTCCCCTATCAAGATCCTCTCCAGGAATGGCTAAGTCCCACAGCATCCAAGTTCAGGGTGCAAACGGCCAGCTGAACTGGTTAAAGGACCCACCCCTAAGTGGCAGTAAGTACTGGGGTTCAGGGCTCTAGACCCTCTTGGCTGCCAAGCCACCACGGCCTAAACTGGGGGGGGGGGGACTCTCAAAATGCAAATATGCGCTGCCACGCTCCAGAGAGTCAGTGGGGCATCTACAGAGTCCAATGAATCCAGGAGAAACTTCTCTCCACATGACAAAACAACTCCCAGCCACTGAGGACTATGTCTGTCCAGTCTCATCAGCCCCTCATACCCTGAGTCTCTCACCCTGAGTGTCCACGTCCCCTGCAGCTGGAGGCGAGGCTGGAGGGGCACCGACTGGCACGCGCGCATATGGACAGTCCGTTTTCAACCAAGAAACTGAAGAGTTTTCCGTAAGTATTCTCTACGTACTGGGCAAGAGGCGCGCCACGTGTAAAGCAGGCAGGGATACCCTCCCTTCCTTTATCCCCGTGAGGACCACAATCAACCGGCCTAGACTGGGACTTGTACGCACAGCCTCCTCCCCAAGTATCCAGGTTGGCCACCAGACAACCTCCTAGGTCACACGACCTGTGAGCGACGGCCCCGTCCACAGCTCAAAGTCCCGGGACCCGGGCCTGCCGTGGAGCCCCGACAACAGAGGACACATTCTCTGTGCCGCCTTGCCTTCCCTCTGTTTTCTGTGGGCATCGTGGGCCAGGCGCGCCCCGCTGCGGATAGCAGAGGAACCAGAGGGGCTGGGAGACTCAGCCCGCAAAGAGTCCGGGCCCCGGGGGCCCATCAGCCCTGCCCGGGGCTCCCGCTCAGCGCAGGGAGCCCCTCCCCCTTCCGCTCCCGATCCCCGCCCGACCTCCGCGACCCCCAGAGTAGAGAGGCGCTGGAGGACACCCTCCGAGGACACTTACTTAAGAGGCTACATAGTTTCACCTCTGAGCTACGACAGCACCTCCCAGGCTCTGGGCTGGGACCTGAGTGCCCACCACCCCGGGTGCGGCAGCTCCACTCTTCAGCCCACCCCTTAACTCCACTGTTGGGCGGAGCCGCTCCCCAGTCTGTCCAATAAGAAGTCATCGTCACTGAGACTGACATGTAAATAGAGCAATCAATAAGTCCAGTTCAGTCAGGGGTGGGGCTCAGGCGACTCCGCGCTTCCTACTCAGAGTAGCCCCGCCCAGAGGCAGGGAGTGCGCGTGCCCAGAATGCGAGAGGGCGGGAACTAAGGAAGATCTGACACTAGGGGTGGGGTCCAGGCTGGGTCTCTGAACTAGGGCTGGACGGCGATGGAAAAGAACCCACCTAGGTAAACATCCTGCCCCACCGATCGCCCTGTGTTGCCGGTGATACAGAACGGAGGTGCTCAGTCCTTCGAACCACACTACTCTGTTTCCCACGGAATCTAGTGTCCCTTGGTCCTGTCTCCTCACTACCGTGGGCTCCGCATAAGCTTCTTTCTACCGAGCTTCAGTTTTCCTCGTCTTCAAAACAGGATAAAGTTGGATTTGTAGGGCGCTAAGGTTCCAGAACTATAATGGAATGCATGAGAGGGAGGGGAGGGAAACCACATTTGACCTTCCCTTGCTGGGCCCCGCCTACCCCTGGTCCAGGGGGAGGAAGCTCCCTGCCCAGACCCGCTGCAGGAGGCGTGTCCTACGAATCTGGAACCTGCTGCCCTTGGCGGGAGCTAAGGCGCGCCGCTCAGCCTGGAGACGTGGGGTCGACCAAGGATGGGGTCTGCACCCAGGACTTTTCAGGGAGCCTCCGTGAAGGAGAAAGTCGTGCAGAGACCCCGCGAGTGACCCGGAGCGCGTCTGGGGAAAATGGAGGAGAGGATGGGAGGCAGCTAACTGGACTCCCTCTGCACGCCGGGACTTTGGAGGCGCAAGTCGAGGGTCCCCGGAGAGCTCCGTTTTGAACGGCCGCAAGGCCATGAGGAGTATTCGGTCCGACCAGCCCAAGGCTGGCATCGGGGCTGGAGGCGACCTGCGATGCTGAAGGGTGCGAGTGGGGCACCGTCTCCGGAGGGCAGCACCATGGCCAGGGAGGAGTGCAAGGCGCTGCTGGACGCGCTCAATAAGACCACGGCGTGCTACCATCACTTGGTGCTGACTGTGGGCGGCTCCGCGGACACGCAGGACCTCCGCGAGGAGCTGCAGAAGACCCGCCAGAAGGCGCGGGAGCTGGCCATGGCCACCGGCGCCCGGTTGACGGTCGCGTTGCGCGACCGGGGCTTGGCGACCGAGGAGCGTGCGGAGTTTGAGCGGCTCTGGGTGGCCTTTTCGGGTTGCTTGGACCTGCTCGAGGCCGACATGCAGCGCTCACTTGCGCTGGGAGCCGCCTTCCCGCTGCACGCGCCGCTCAGGCCGCTCGTGCGCACAGGGGTGGCCGGCGGCTCCTCTGCAGTTGCCGCGCGCGCCCTGAGCGCTCGCAGCCTGCGACACGAAGCCGAGGGCGACTTCGACGTGGCCGATCTGCCCGAGCTGGAGCGCGAAGTCCTCCAAGTGAGCGAGATGATCGACGACATGGAAATGAAAGTCAACGTGCCCCGCTGGACTGTGCAGGCGCGGCAGGCGGCGGGCGCCGAACTCCTGTCCGGTGCCAGTGCCGGTGCCTCCTCTGCCGGTGGCATTTCGGTAGAGGAGCGAGCGGGACCCTGCGACCCCACCAAGGCCCTGGCCGCCACTGTTTTCAGTGCTGTGCTGCTGGTGGCTGTGGCACTCGCCTTATGTGTGGCAAAGCTGAGCTGACTGACACCCAACGGCCACCTGCTGCCCCTTCTTCTAGAATGTGGGCGTGGGCGCTGGCCTGTTAAAGAGAGGTAGTGAACCCGGGTGTGTGCATATGAACATGATCCTTTCAAGTCACACTTCTGCCTGGGCAAGGCATGTTTTGTGTTTTAGCTTACTGGTCTAAGAGGAGTTAACTGCACCGGGCGGTCAGGGCATTACCTTTAATGTCTGCAGGAGCTTTATCTCCCTCCTATTAATAGAAATCGGTCCACAGTGACCCTGGATCCCTTTGAGCTTGATGGGTGTGTCCCACGTTTGATGTCCTCACCCTGGTCGGTAGCTCCCACTGTGCATAAGACAGGGCAATTTGGGAAAGGTGGAGGGTTGCGTCTAGCGTAGTGAGGGGGCTGCTTTGCCCCCTAGACAAAAAAACACAAATTGCAGTAAGATGAAAGTGGGTCTTACTACCTTAATCCTTTGGGACCTAAGCTTTGGGAGAGTGCGACGATGGAGGTTCTGGATGTTTTCTCTATGGCACACTCTTGCACTAATTGGTGGAGATTGCCCATTAGTTACCAAGAGTGGCAGCTAGGAGAGGTTTGGTGTTGTGACCCCATTTAGGAAACTTGAGAAGGTTGTTGCAACTCGATGTGGTGGATGGAGTTGGATCCACTGCCCGCTTGCCTCAAGAAAAGGCCTCTCCCTACACATCCCTGAATGGGGGAGAGGAACGAACCACTCTGGGAGGGGCCATGCCTCTATGTAAACAGGCACGTTCTCCTTCCCAGAGGCTTATTTTATTCCAGAATTAGACCGCAGTGTTTGACCCTCTTTTGAGGGAGGGCTCCGGGAATCCTCTTTGAAGCCCTTAATCCTATCTATCCCCAGAATTTACTTGCTAGCCAATAGGAGCACTGGCCTTCTAGAGAGCTGTCCAACTGTCTGACCCCATGTTACAGAAAAGGGCAATACTGGCTTCATTAGTTCACAGAGGCTGTGCACTGGTCAGCTGACACTGAGTTCAAAATGTAACAGTTCAAAATGTATCAGGTTTGAGTTGAAAGAATGACATTGGCACGTTATACAAATGCTAGCTTTGTTTGTTTTTAGTGTAAAGCAAACTGGGCCACAAGCTCATATATGCCAAACGAGTCAAGCTTAGAGATCTTTTACATGGGCGTGTAAATATGATCTGCATCTATTTTCTAAAATGTATATTCTTGGGGCCAGAGAGATGGCTTACCAGTTAGAAGTTTGTATTGTAGCCGGCACTCAGAAAGCAGAGGCAGGTGGATCTCTGTGAGTTTGAGGCCACCCTGTATATAGAGTGAGTTCTAGGACAGCAATGACTACATAGAGACACCCTATGTTGAACACGGGGTGGGGGAGGGATGGGGGGAGTGGAGAGAAGCGTATGTAAGGTTCTTACACAGCATGCAAGTTCTGTTCCCGGCACCCACCTCCAGCAGCTCGCAACTGCCTGAAACTCCAGCTCCAGGAGAGGTCTGACGCCCTCCTGGCTCTTGCCCCCCCCCCCACATTAAACTAAGACGAAATCTTTTAAAAGAGCCTATATTGTTGAACAGAGATTGATTTTGAGATCATGGCTCAAACTACCAGGAACATCTACATGAAGGTAGAAGCAGGCGCTGCTTTCCACCTGTAGAAAAGGAGACGTGAGAAACACTCTTAGTCCCAGGCACATACTTGCCTTTCTGGTGGGGCTTGGTCACACTCCCCGGGAAGTGGGACAGAGAAGTAAAAGGTTTACTTGGCTGGAAACAGGATTTAAAAAAACAAAACAAACAAACAAACAAAAAAACCTATGACAGTGAGAAAGAGGGGGGCCGGAAAGGTGGCTCAGTGGTTACGAGCAGCGGCTGATCTTTCAGAGGACCCAGGTTTGATCCTCAGTCCCATACGATGACTACAAATCCCTGTAACTCCAGTCCCAGGCAACCCAACACCCTGTTTTGGCCTCCCAAGGAACTGCATACAGGTAGTGAATAGACATCCATGAAGGTGGCCCCCCCCCAATACAAAATGGCTATGGTGGTGATGATAATTGTTTTAAGTGAGAAGGAGGACCAAGTGTGGGGAAATAGCAGGTTAGGGTCAACTTGGAAGGCTAATGGACACAAGTGAATAGGGGCACCTGGTTCTAGGTGCTGTGCCCTGCCCTACCCTAGGCCATGTGAACTCGCTTCACAGAGATTCTGGTGCCTCAAAGAGGAAAATGTGGACCGACTCTGTTTGCAGGTGTCTTTGATTGTGCTTTTAAAAGACCCGGGAGTCTTAAAGTCGATGGAATCCTTTACAATGATTGCTCTAAGAGTTCCTGCCTCCTCTTGGCTAGGTAACTCTGATTAGGTTACACTTCCTACCTTTTTGTTGCTACTTGCACGGGATGCCTTTAGAGACAATGTAGAAAGTTTTAAGCTCTGTCTCCCACACATACAACAACATGCAATCTCTGTCACCTCTCCAGAGACTAATCTCTTAGGCAAGAGAAGTCCGGAGGCATATGGGGACATGGTTTTAGGAAATCTCTCTTAAGAAACAGTTGGTGAAGGCATCCTGCCATTTCCAAGGCTGTAACTCTTTATTCTCTATTCTTATCAGGAATATATATGTACATATATATATATATATATGTGTGTGTGTGTGTATATATATATATATATATGGCCAGCATTTAAGAGTACTTGCTACATTTAGAAGGGACTGCAGTTTAGTTCTCAGCTGCCTGTTACTCCTGCTCCTGGGGATCTGGCATTCTCTCCTGGGATCTGGCATTCTCTTCTGGCTTCCATGGGCACCTGCACATACATGGTGGGTGCAGTGTACACACACACAAATATTAATATATTTCTCAAAATTGTTCAGTATGGTATGCTGAAGACATAACCCATCTGGCACTGAATAATCTATTAAGACAGTGGTTCTCAACATCCCTAACACTGTGACCCTTTAATATACAGTTCCTCATGTTGTGGTGACCCCCAACCATAGAATTATTTCATTGCTACTTCATAACTGTAATTTTGCTACTGTTACGAATCATAATGTAAATATCTGAAAGTGCAGGATATCTGCTTGTGACCCCTGTGGTTTGGAATTACTGCTTTAAAAGCAAAGTGAACACATTTCCTGTAGTCATTCTTTCCACCCACTTGGCAATTCTTTGGATATTTAATTAGCTGGGTAATCAGCTGTCTACCTGTTTGCGAGGGTTCTCAGATCTCTGCAATTTGTGATGAAATGTGCAAAAAGAAGAGGCTGAATTAAAGTGCACATCCCTCTAGCAGACCCGTGAACCCCCCAAAAAAAAAATGAGTTTGGCAATGTTCCCTATGATTATGAGGTGATTTCTTGTTGTACTCTGCGGCTGACTACAGGAACATAGGCAAAGTTATTTCTTGCACAACTGGCTATTTTCTAACTCATATGCCTGCCTACTCTTGTTTCTACGTATAGTTGATGAGCTTGGCTGATGCATACTTTGCTGTTGTGGAAGTCATTGATTTTCTATAAGCATTTGGTCTGATCTTATACTTGATGTGATTGATAGGAAAAACTTAAAAAATGCATCAGCTAAGCAAGGCCTGCTACTTAAGAACGAAGCAGGAAGAACACATGTTCAGGATTAGCTTGGGCTGCAGTGTGAGTTCGAGGCTAACCTGGGCAATTTAGACGCTATCTCAACATAAAAAGTGAAAGGAGGGCTGGGGTCATTGCCTAATGGCAGATCACTTGCTTGGCATGTTCCAGGCTTCAGATTCAATCCTTGTGCCCCTCAAAAATGCATTAACTGATATTAAAATACAAAAGCTGAGGGTGTCAAGGGATTATCAATCTACCACGGGGGTGGGTTCTGAACTAACAGTAAGCTATTAATGATGACAATTATCACATTGAAGGAAGAAAATTTTTCTAAGACACGGTCTCACTGTGTAGTCCTAGCTGTTCTGGAACTCACATGAAGACCAGGCTGCCCTCGAACTCAGAGACATCCTTCTGCTTCAGCCTCCTGAGTACAGGGACTAAAGGCACGCACCACTATGCCTTGCTTTAAATGTGTGGCTCAGATTGGCCTGGAAGTAGTGATTCTCCTGCTTTAGGCTCTTCAGAATAATGCTACCACTGTGGGCCACCACAACCAATGGGATGGTTTTATGTAACATAAAAGGTTATGCTTTTAAAGGCCACGAAGGGAAACATTCAGGGTAGAGTCAAAGCCTGAGTGAGCTTTGTGATTTCCCTACAGCTTACAGGATGCTGTGAAGGGATGTGTGGTGCTGAGTAACTGGAAAGTAGCTTTGACTATAGAGATGTCTAATTTGCATGAGGTCCCTGGTAATGCTGCACTCCCCAGTGTTCACATGGGTCCATGTTTAAGCTGCTCCCGTCCTCCTTAGAGGAAGTGTTCTATGAGGGATGCTTTGAGCTGTGAACTCCTGGGTATGAGAAGCTGATGTATGAAATGTGGCCGGAGGAGCTCACCTCTGCATCCCTTGGGGTGTGCCTCTCCCTCAAGGGCCCACCATCTGCCCTGGCTGGGGAACTCTGCCTCTCTCCAAGCACCTCAAGTCATTTGATATCCCTGTGCCTCGACTTCCTCTACTGGTGGCACAGGGTTCTTGACCAGTTAGGTGAGAGAGCCCTCGTGGAGCTTCGGATGATCACCAGATACACACTAACGTGAGAAAGGCGTACTTTGTTCGTTGGTTTGGTTTATGGCATTTTGTTTTGCTGGCTGGTTTATGTATATCCTCATTGAATGTAATCATATAGTTTGGTGGTTATTGTTTAAAAATAGTTTAGGCACTGGAGAGATGCTTACAGGTTAAGGGTATTTATTGCTCTTGCAGAGGACCAGGGTTCAGTTCCTAGCACCAAAAAGAGGCAACTTGTAACTCCAGTCCAGGCTATCTGCCACTCTCCTCTGGCCTCCAAAGCCACTGCATGTCCAACACACACAAAATAAAACAGTGAAATCTAATTTTTGTGCAGCCATCAGGCCACCTCAAGAGATTATGGGAAA